CAAACCCCACTGCAGTCAGCATGTCGTTGTGTCCCTGGGCAAGACACTTCACCCCAAATTGCTCCTGTGGGGATTGCCCACAGTATTGAGTATGTAAGTCGCTTTGGATAAAAGCGTCTAACAAGTAACATGTAATGTAATGTAATGTAACATGAATCTAATAATAAAGAAACTGTTCTGAAGTCAATGGTGATTTTAAAACTGGAAAGATAATTTATCTACTGCAATTGTAGAATATCCAAAGTATATTTAGTGTATACTGGTTTGGGGAATGAAGATAATGTGGTGGTTGTGGTTGGTATAGAAAGGTCAGGATGTCAATAAAAATATTTAGGAAGTCCTCTGAGGGCCATAAATAAAGTGTTTGTGCAAACCAATAGATGTCGACAACTAAAGGTCAGCAGTGAACGCTGTCACTGGTGGAAATAAATATGCAATCTTTATTTGTCTCATTGTCTGAGTAACTTTATTGTAGTATCATTAGTATTGTTGTCATCACGATGACTGCCATCTAAATGATGACCTTATCTCGTATATGTCATTTCATTCTCACATCATGTTGTTTTGAATTTTTGCATTTTAATACATTTGCAGCCAACAAGAAGAGACAGAAAGAAAAGTTTTGAAGAAAAGATGGAGGTGAAGAGAAAGATCGAAAGCAAAACAAGTGACAAGAGAAAGTTAAAAAGAAGTAGGAGAAGAAATCGAAGGAGGAGAAATATGAGAGAAGACAGAAAGAGATAGGACAAGAGGACTCTAAAACTGACAAACAGATTGATCAGCAAGGGCACCGAACAAGGGCGAGGATTACAAGGAGTTGAAAGGCAGCGGGTGAAGGAGTGGAGAGGAGAGGAGGAGAGGGCAGAGGAGAGGTAAGGAGGCACACCTCAGTGTTCAGAGGCCTCCGTTCTGGTAAGAGCGCTCCTGAATTATTCATGGTTGCTCGTCTCGCTGTGCTGGCTGCAGCGCAATGCTCACTGCGGAGAATAAAAAGAAAGAATTCTGACTAGAAAAATAAACTGCAAACAATGTAGCTGTGTGAGACGTTCTGAGACCGTTTTAATTGCAGTTTTTTCAGCGGGATGAAGTTCATGATTTGATCGTATGCCGCTGGAATAAGTTAAACAAAATGAATAGTCTGCTTTCATTCTCTACTATTATCTTAGATTTGTAGTTGTATTCTCTTTGACCCTCTGCTGGATTTGTTTTAACTTTCGGATCATGAAAGCAATGGTGGAATGTAACTAAGTACATTAACTCAAGTACTGTACTTAAGTACAAAATTGAGGGACTTGTACTTTACTTGAGTATGTTCACATTACTCTAAACTTTTAGTCCACTACATATTGTTGGCAAATGTTGTAAAAAGTACAACATTTGCCAACAATATGTAGTGGACTAAAAGTTTAGAAATGTTGTACTTTTTACACAGATTTAATTACTTGTTGATTTGCAGATTTTGATTATTAATACAAAGATATATATCAGAAAATACATATGTTATAGGTTAGGCTACACAGTAGTATATAAAGTAATTAAAATAAACCCTACTTTTACCAAGTGCAAAATGAAGGTGATGAACACATATATTCATCAATATATTTTTATAAAATGATAAAAAATTGTTTGTGCTTAAATGGACCATTCTGCATAATGCATAATTGTATTTTTGGTATAAAGTATATTTTGTTACCAATACTGTTTTACTTTTACTTAAGTACAATTTAGAATGGGACTTTTACTTGTAACTGTTTTTACACTGTAGTATTGTTACATTAAAGGTAGGGTAGGTAAGTTTGAGAAACCGGCTCGAGATCGCTAGAATTTGAAAATACACAACCGGAGAAAATCTGCCACTTCCTTATAGAGCCCCTCCTCCAACACACACGAACGCGCACATGACCAATGAGGGCACGAGATAAGTTTGTGCACAGATGGAAGGCTGACAGGCAGGTAGGCCATCCAGTTATTTTAGCCGGGCCGGCTAAAATGATTGGTCGTACTTTTTACAGTATTACGGCTTCCACAGATGACATTTTTTTATGGATTTTTTGTCAAAGCACTTAAGATATTCATTGCTATCGGGACGTTAAGAGCATTCCATGGAATATAACAAAAAGTGTATCTCGAGCCGGTTTCTCAAACTTACCTACCCCACCTTTAAGTGCATATCTGTGTAATGAGTACATACTTGATATGGCGTCTGGATGGTGGAAAACAATCTGCTTCACTCCCTGGTGCTGACTCATTCAAAATAAGATGTCGAACACTATGAATCGTCTTGTTGATTCAGTCTATACCAGTTTTATTCCATCAAGGATTTTTGGAGGACACTATAGGGCAGAAACTGCCAGAATATAATAAGAAATAATTTAGACACACACATAAAATGGAAATGGATAAATACAAGGATAAATACAGGAAAAAGTATGTGATTTCAACAAAATGTGGACATACTGTATTATTTGCTCTTTTGCTCCTTGATCAGTTTTTAATATTGCGGGGACAACAAGTATATTGTATGTATCTCTCTCTTTATGGTCATACCACCATTGAAGATAAACTGGTCAAAGAAAGTCTCTATGAGTATGTTTCAGTAAAAGGACAGATGGACAAAAACTCCACTGAGAAAAAAGGTGTATGAAAATGAGAGGAGGAGATAGCGAATGAAGCACAACATCACTTTTCAGCTATTATGTATCCTCAGCAATTTCCCTGACCGAGATATGAAGTAGCCAGCGGGAGGAATCAGAGTACAGTATATGCTGTACATTTCTGCGGGTATCTCTGATAGAAACCAATATGTCTGTGAGGAGAAGTATTCAAATATATTCTTTTGAGAACCTCCAAGTTGGAAAAATATACTCCTTTTGTCATCAAATTGCAGGAAATTGGGTTTAGAAAAGATCGGCCTGCCATCTCTCACAGGCCTGCTGATTTCCACGTGGGGATCATTTACAATCCCAACACGTCCAGGACTCTCCCCCTCCGTCGCCACAACAATGCCAGAATTGTAATATGTTTTACTCAGTGGGGGGAAGGATTACATGAAGGAGGCTTGAAAACAGTCCTCAGTTACTTTGGGATTTCAAGGGGTCTTGATCCCCATTTACTCATCAGAACCTTAGGGATCAAAAGACGGCGGGAAAACAAAAAAGGTCTTTGCAGGAGAAGATCACATGGATAGCTTTTTCGTCTCTCTTTCTTACTCTTATATCACACCAACGTCTGTTATCTTTGAAATGATCCAGCGGGTGATCTCATTTAATATATATATATATATATAAAGACTGGATGGAAAGTGAAGGGTAGGCTAAGCCTTGCCAGTCTTTTTTTAATGAAAACAGACCCTGAGCCAATCTCCTCTAATCATTGCTGGTTAATATCCTTTGGTATGTGGCTGTTATAGTGTATAGACTTAGACAACATGAGCATCTGCAACACTGCTGCAATACATTTCACTCACTTGCAAGCTCCTGCATTTCCTCTTTGTCTTTTAATTATTTTTTAATTTTGGGAGAAAATGGCAATATGAATGTAAAATAAAACAAAAACTCAGCTTTAGTATTTTTTTGATGGCTTGACAGTAGTCTTTGTGGTAAATGGAAGCATACTGGTTGGCTACTTTCATACAGTCTTTTGTACCCTCTGAGCTACAATAACATGTATTTATTGACACAGTTCTATCAAATTGTATTCCTGCTGCCACCATAAAATATTTCACTTAATTTACTTAATACAGGATACCTAAGTATTTGTTGTGTTATTGAGCTTATCATCCAGAGAAAGAAACAACATGTCCCTTTGGGTGCCTGTCTGAAATACACAAACAAGAACAAAATATAGTGTAAGTGTTACCTTTACATTGAAACATGCTATTATGATTCTTATCAAAATTCTTATTGAAGTACGTAGTGTTTACCATAAGGGTTCCAAAAGAGGAAATGTATGTCCCTCAGGTGAATACATTTCCTTTTAATTGGATGATATGACACTTTGCACATTGAAACACTATGTACACATGACATCCTTTTAGATCTATAAGCAACATCTCTTCAGTTAAAACTCAGTTAAACTATGCATTATTGCTATTAATTGTTTGACACTAATAACCGTAACATTTTGGATACTAAAGTGCACCAAATTCACTTAATCCTCCTCTGAATGTTGCTCATATAATTAGGAGGATGGGCTTCTTCAGAGACTTCAGTTGTCATTAATACATTTGATACCATGAAAATACAGTGACTTGTCAGTAGCATAGTCTCTTGTACTTGATAATGAAGAATAGTAGGAGCCTGGACTCTATGCGATGTGCCATGTTTGCCAATGGATCAGTTTGTAATACTAATGCTTCAGTCAAGTATCAACCACTAACTCTGCATTAAAAAAGATTAAAGCGATTTGTGCAGCTGATCAACTAGGGAGACGGTTTAATGAGTCTGGTTTCGTCTGTGTACACTGTTCAGAGTGTGTACCAGGTAATCTGTGAGTGTGCAACAAAATAACATCTTTAATCACAACATCAGGCGTGTGTGATATTAGGTTTCATTTTCCCCTGCACACCAATTTTGCCACATAGATAACAACAGATGTGTGCTATCAGCCAGTGATTCCTGTTGATGGCTCTGCACCATATTGGCAGGAAATACATGAAGAGAAAACTGTGAAGAGTCTTGGCTTGCGAACGAGCACTGCACTGACTCATCGGTGATTTTGATGACGGAAGCAGAAATAGATCAAACATAATTAAAGTTCTACTTAACTTCAACCTTTGTTATCTCCCTTTGACGTCAGACTGTTTTCAAATAATATTTATTTACCGGCCTGTAACTGAGTGATGTTTGTTGAGTACACAAACTGTCACATCAGTGATTGTATTTAACGAAATATGGTTGGATATGGAGATGGATATGTGTGAGATTCACAACCTGTTGATGTGTACTCTAAAAGCACAAGAATAGAATATGAACTAACTGTCACTGTCTTTCTTTTTACAGGACGGCATGGGCAAACTAAGAATAACAGAGAAGGGCCTGAAACTGGAGGGGGCCTCTGAGTTCCTTGAACCCCTCTATGCCAAAGAAATCCAGTCCAAACCAGTAAGTCATTCACAAAAAACACACTTATGCTCTACTAGTTTTCATTTAATATTGACACATATTAGAATTTGATATTAAATAAAAGTTTACATGGCATAAATCATTCTAAATTGCTTGATGTGTATGCCACAACTAAGCAACACAGACTGACTAGATTGTAACACTCGATGAATAACATTTCACAGTATGAAGTGAGAAGGTCCAATGGTTTGAAGAGATGAGAGTCTAATGACTGTAAGTGTGAATTGATTCTTGGAGCCAACATCTTCATAGTGGGAAAAAAACATGTGAGAGAATCCTGTTGGGACTCACACTGGAAGCACCAAGCTGCAAGTGATTCCACTTGCATTTACAACTTGTATTGATTCCATTAAGTGTCTAAATGTTGCTCTAACAAAGCTTAAAGGTTTTTAAAGCCTCCCTAACATGCGTTCTAGGGAAATAAAAGGCACTACACTGCATATTCTTACAGCTGACAACTATTGATCCATTTCCGGCCACATGTATGGTCAGAATACGGTGTCAGTAGACTGAGCCAGAAGTCCAAAAGTACTCCATCAATCCCTCATGTGGGAATCTGAAGCCTTCCAAGGTCAGATGGAATATGTAGTCTGTGGAGTTTGCTGTGGGAGGTGGTTCTTTCAAACTGAAGGAGCAATAGTTCACATACAAGCTTGTCCCTGATGTCATAGGCCGAGCCAAATTACTCTGCAAAGACAAGTTATTTTAGCTTCTCGTGCCTGCAATCCTGTTTTTAAGGTCATCCTCCAAAGATTTGAACCATAAAGCTCTTACATACAGTGACTGCTAAATCAGCAGCAAAAGCAGGGTCTTTGGAAAAAAACATGGCTTTGTTAGCTTGGGATTTTTTTTTTATCGAGTTAATTACTGCAATTTTAGCCTGGATTTATTCTAGCATTAATTACAGTATGGTTTTGTAAAAGAGCAGATTCCAGCAAAAGCTCAAGCCTTCCAGTCACATTTACAATCTAAATCATGCCATGTCACGCCAAGAAATATCACGAAATGTCAGGTTATTATAATATGTTCTGTGCCATGCCATGTCAAAACAAGAGAAGATGTGTCATACTGTGTCACAACAAGGCTTGTCTTGTAATGTGATTTCATGGCAGAACATAACAAGATATGACAAAACATCCTAAAGTTTTGACAAGCACCATATGGCCCCATCAGTCAAGACAAGTTATAGGTCCCTTCGTATGTTCTGTTTGCACAATCAAAATTCTGATGTGCTTCGTGCTGCCTTTACTACAACTACAGGAGGAGTATCCAAGCCTAGAGATGTCAGAGAAATGGAGTGATGGGCACGATAAAGTGATACGCACACTCTCCCTATGTCTCTGTGCTCTGGCAGTAATAATAGCCAGGTAGTGGACGGAAGGTTGATAAGGCGAGAGAGTAGCATGCTTTATCTCTGCTGTCTAGGATCTTACGCAAGCTTAGAGAGAAAATGAGCGATGGAGAGCAGAGAGGAGCATAAGGGAATGAGGTAAAGCCGAGTGAGTATGGAGATGAAGATGAATAATGAGAGAGAAGAAGAAGAGCTAGTAAAAGAGACAAAAAAAACAGAAAGACAGATGGACAAGGACTGAATTAGAATAAGAGAAATTAGAAGCCAGTGAGCATATTATGACAGGCGGCAACGTGCAAGAAGCGGCCAAGTCTGACACAGACTCAAACAAACACAACATATTCGCAGTGTGATATCATTACACAGTAAAATATTCATATTTAAATGACGTCCCAATTCCACCAAACCGTACAAGAAGCAGCTATGAATGACTGCAGAATTCTACTGCATTCATTTGGCACTGTGTTTAGACGTTTTGGTGCAAGCAAACTTATGAATAACAATTATTATCAAGATGTTCTAACATATTAAAACGGCTTATATAGCCAGGGTATTTTGCATATTGAAGAAGGCTGCAGGTTGTGTTAGTCATTGCTCATGCACCCGACTGTACTTATTTATTATTTTAATTGATGGTGCCAGGATTTCTTCTGACAACGAAAATAAGCCTAAATAAGTATGGAGAAACAGAAGTAAAGGAATATGAATCAAAACACAAAAGGGTAAATAAAAGAGGGTAGACGAGATACACTAACGCAGAATTAGATATCAACAGAGGAGAGAACAGAGAAAGTAATTGATGGCTAGTACGAACGTGTTAGCCGAGCAGTTAGAAGAATCTTAATACCAAGAAGCAGGGTAGAGGAAAAAAGACAGACTTACAGAACGATTAAGAAAAAATAAAACATGGAAAGACCCCTGCTGTTTGTTGCAGTAATTCCTCTCCTGATACTTCCTTTCTCTTTTCTATTTAGTCTTCTATTCATGCCTCTGATCTTTAGCCTTTATCTTTCTCTTAGTTTAACTTTGTTCAGTAAAGCAGTAAAAGTCTAACTATACTAAAGACTCAGAGAGACTATCTGTTATCAAATGATATGCTGTATGATACATTTTAATCACATCTCCTGAATACTCTTATCAATATTTCAGTTTTAACAAAGCTACCGACTGGCTGGTAAGCATAGTGGGGGTTTAGCTGTTAAAGAGACACATAGTTCTCCTTTTAGGAATAAGTGTAAAACCAAAGATTAATGAATCAGAGTAAAATGCCAGAAAAATCAATCCTAGTGAAAGCTTATGTTTCACTATACCTGCCGGATGTGTACATAAAGTTAGCTAGCAAGCAATTAAAAAGTTGATAATAAGTCAGTGTTTTGTTCTCGGCTTGTTTCTGCCACATAACGGCAAATGGCTGCCACTGCCATTGATTGGTAGTGACAGATATGTTGTGTTTTACTCAATAAGTGAATAGGTTTACTTATATAATATATGATCTGTAAATTAATTGATTAATCAACTCCACCACATATCAACTATTGCTTACAACGTCCTACAATACCTGTGTGCCCTTTAACAAAGAGAGATCAACACTAAGCCGAGGAAATATTTTGATAAGACCAAACAACATTTCTGGAAAGCCAACCTGTTGATCTCAAATATGGTATTTTAGTTCAATTTATAAGGTTTAATTCAACCAGTGAGTTTTTATATCATCTTTGAATAAGTTCTGCCTCCAAAACATATTTATATATTTCCACTCAACATCATTCTCCATGTGTCTTTTCTCACTTCTCTTGTTTTTCCCTCACTTGTATTCCTCTCTGTGTGAGAGGCCTCCTGCTGGGAGTAATATGGTCTGTTGCATAAGTAATGAAGAGAAGAGGGAGACGTGGTGAATCAGAGTCACCACACAACAACAAAACAAACACTTGTACTGTACACAAGCAGCCCCAATGGACATTAGCCTCTCTGAGGAATACCAAGGGACTGAGCAGAGAAAAGAAAAGACGGAACGATGAGATGGCCGCTCTGGAACATAACACACTGAGCTTAGTAGCATAAAACACACTGTGCCTTGTATCTCATAAGGCTAGTATGAAATATATACATTTCATGGTTTCTCATAAAATCAAGGTAGTGCCTGGAGCAACAACTTGTCACCTTTAAACACATTTACTGTCATTTTTTAACATGCAAGTTAGTCCAACTTCATGTGGGTTAGGTGTGTTACTTTACTGGTTATTGTTAGAAAAGATATCACTCGTCACTGGCTTGATCTTCAATATCAGGATACATGTATGTATTGTCCTTGCAAGAATGGAAGTAGTCATCAAACACAGGGTTGCATGCGACAAATAGTTCCCCGAATAGTATACTGTATGCTTATATACAAGAGAGTGTTACAGTCACAAGATGCAGAATAATGGTTCAAAGCAGTATTCTATGCTTAGTTCAGATTAGCTAAGGCCTGCGTAAGCATTAGACATGACAGTCATATGTCTATCTCCATAGAGGCTGAATCATCATGTTAATGGTTGTCACATAGCTATCATATGCCTAAAACAGTGTGTCCTGACGCTCTTCTAGGTAATCATACTTCCTGTTATGTACACAGCTACATAGGGCCTTTGTTATCATGTGCTACTCTGATATTAGAAGAGTACATTCAGTATTTTCCCAATAGTTATGTTTGGGCTACTTTGCAAGAGGAAGTTGTTACAGTTTGTCAGTCCCACAAGACATCTCACATGCCTTCCTCCTGGTTGCATTTTAAATGTTAGACTAGTAAAGATAGTGGTTTAAGTTAAGGAAGTTCAGCATGTTAGGTGGCATAAGTTGAGTTTGTTGTATAAGGTAACTCACTTTATCGCTTTTTTTACGACGTCTGACTTCCTTCTTCTTTTCTGTCATAATTGCTATGGACACTGAAGTCAGCCCTGTAAGTGCTAAATGGGAATTTGGCATAGTTTAACACGTAGGGTGACTGACCAAGCTGCAGTATCTAAGGAGCTGTGAGTGAGAACGCACTGACTCGTAAAAATGATTCAAATTGTCAAAATTGAAATTAATGACAAAGTCTGTCTCATAGAAACTGTGTTTAGTGTGGTTTTTTTTGTACCCCATGAGAGTTGTAGGGAGCCGGTCCGGGTTCATAGTGACACACAAAATGACTTTCTTACAGAAGATCCATGCAATTTGTGGACAAAAAACACATGAGCTGTCGTTTGCTTCAATCAAATGATGTGAAACATTTTCAGTGAATGTTTTGCAGATACGTTATTCTATGCGCTGAGTTAGATGAATGAATGTGATAATATTGTATTTGTTTGAATACACTGACTGATATTGCTTCTTGTCACACTGCACATTTGTACTTCCTGTACACAACCTTGAATGTTATATTGATGTCCACACAGCTGAAGGTAATTAGAAATAATGAGCAAACAGCCTCCTCAACACACTGAGGCACTGCTTCCGGCCTTAAACATTGTATGGTCCTTGGTTGCATGCAAACATTTATAACACACACACCTCAACCTTTAAAGACCGAGTTGACTTGTCGAACCTGACACAGTGAAATTACTTTCTTTTCAAACTTTTTTCCAGATTTGCATTCAGGTCCCGACACATTGTTATTGTGATAATGTCTTGCTCGCATATCGTGCATTTAGTGTATTTACTGTGAGAACTTCAATACGTTTTCCAAGAGCCATAATGTTATCAGTTTTATACACACAAGGCATATCCCCTCCTCGGCTGCGAGCGCAGCACAATGGTCAGGCCGTTATCTCTAATTAAGAAGTTGACTGAGGCATGAAGATTAGTCGGGCACAGAAAGAGCAGAGTGTCCAACGTGATCAGCATTACAGATGGGTGCAGGGCACTCTGGGAAATACAAGTTATCAAACCGAACAGGGGGCTTAAGTCTCTGAGCTTTGACAATTCTGGTGGTTTTGTTTGAGTGTAAAGTTGTACATTTGTATGCATGTGTATCTATGTATGTGTGCTATTGTACTCATTTAGTATTATAGCTGGCTCAGCCAATGTAAGCCCAACCCCCAAGTCAGCACAGCTACGTGCCAATAAGGTGATCCACCTGAAGCTGTTGACAGAAAACACCGAACTTAACAATCAGAACAAAACAATTAAAGACTTACAGTCTACAGCCACTATATTAAAAGTCATCGGTTCAACAAACTCATAAGGATTTGGTAGCCCGTTTTTGTTGAATTTTATATTTGTTGTCTACTTCATACTGGGACAGTCCAGGTAAATACCTCATCTCCAATATTATTGTCCCTGTATAGGACAACAAAGTAAAAATATTGGGGTCATTAAAGTAATCAATGTTATCCTGAAGTGGGTAGACATAGAGATACATTGTCAAAAAGCAGTAGGGAGGAGATTTCCAGCCATTAACCGTGCTGGAAACCATAACCATTTTGTTGTGGTTCTTTGTCTAAACTTTACAGGACCTTCACTTTAAAGGTTGCTGATGAGCAAACAGTCATATGAAATGTTCATACAATATATGTCTATGAAAGTCAAGGGGTTGGGAACAACAAACCAAAGAACAAACCTTTTGATTGTAAAAACAAAAAGTGTGTATATGATGTTTAATCTTCAACCTGTGATGTTTTGTTATTTGATTCTATCCTTATCCGTCCTCATTCTCGTTCCTCTAAACTCATCAATAGTTGAATAACCATGCACGTACCACAAACTAAATAAATAATGGTGTCTCTTTCTTTGCAGGGCCGCCCGCTGTTCCTGCAGTCATCCAGAAATGTGTCGGTCAATATTGTCAACAGCAAGAACCAGCTGCTCACACAACTTGTAACAGGTAAGAGCCAGCGTGCTTTCTTGTGTTGTATTGAAGTTTTCTTTTGATATTATACATGTCTTCTTGTTTCAAAAACATCAAACCTGACAACACTGACGACATTCACTGCAACTGCCCGACATGTAAAAGTTTTGATGTGTGCCACTAAGAATTGTGTTTTAAGTTCTCATCCATTTTGACAAAATATGCATTATTGCCATTGGGAACTTTATTTTGGCATAATTGTATTCTCATACCAGTTCAATATTAATACAGTCAATCAATGCAACTGACAATCAAAAACTAAATTAGTAGAAGTGGGAGGGCAGAAAGCATAACTTATAAAAGAAAAATAGCCCTCCTGTTAGTCGTCCATAAAAAAACGTCCATAAAGGAAAAAATAAATGAGAAAAACTGCATTCTTTTATCAGCCATGTTATTTCTCACTTTTATTGTGATTGTGTGATTTTATTTTTCTCTTGGGACTCTTTGGGTAGCCCAGACTGTTGGGTCAGGAACCACTGTTCAAAAATGTGACTGCCTCAGTTTTCAAGGATTACCCATTAGCATGTTATATATTCTTCCTCTCTTCCCCTTTACTGTGCCAGCAGAGGCCTCAGTTGCACCACCATCAATCTGAGATTGCACTTTCTGCTTTATATTCCCCCATTTTCTGCCTGTCACACTCTAATAGAGTTGGCAGTCTTCTGTGAATGGAAATAACTTTGTGTAAACATGCACAGTCAGGTAGTGTCTCTCGCGTTTAAAAAGTGATCTGACATTTGCCTTGTGGGTTTGAGGAGGAGGAAAACGAAGTCTGTTCCGATGTTTCTCTTGGATGGCTCAGCTGGGTTTGTGTACGGGGAGGAACTTCACATCCCAGATGGAGAATGACAGAATCAATTGCGCGCACGTCAATCACTCACCCCCAGCACCAGTGTTTTCTGTCACCGCGTGAGACAAATCAATTTGAGTTGGAGGGAGGTGACTACATTTTCTACTTCTTGTTTGTTGTGACACCAGTTATTGTTCAGGCATCTTTCATTTGAGTGTTTTTCCAGTTGCCTACTCTCGTTCAGTGAACTACCGGTGGTGTAAATCTATTTCACCAACAGGTCTCATCTGGATGAAATAGTTTCTAAACCTTTCATCACAATCAGTGAAAAATACATAACTCCGTTCGTCTCGAGATGTCTTACTTTATATTTTCCCGATATACATTTGAATGTATTTACTCAAATAATTAAAGTCTAAACGATCAAGGGATAAAATCAAAGCGGGTACACAAACCTTTATAGTGCTGTTCCAGAACACCATGCATTTTTGTAAGAGCTAAAACTGATCATCCTTTTTCAAACAAGCTGTCAATATTCTGTTTGGCGGACTGATAGTTTCAACAGCGAGTGTTTGATTTTTATTAATAAAGGCTAATCTAGTGATACATCTTTATTTTTATTCTTAAAAGGATTTTAGCAATTGGCAAAGATCTAAAACATGCAAATAGCAGTCGTTTTTTAATTTTTTAAGAATACACCATCTTGATCTTAGTCGTGATTCCTTTGAAATGATATCAAAAGTCACTGTGTCAACAAAACATTACAACTAGGGCTGTCAAGTTAACGCGTTAATAACGCGTTAATAACGCGTTAACGCAAAAAAAAAATTAACGCCACTAATTATTTTAACGCGATTAACGCATGTGTATTTTTTGTCCTCGGCCGCCGTAGTTTCAGAGCGCATCGAGTGTAAAATACCATCGACAAGCTGATGCTGACAGCCCCGCTCCTGCCGCCCGCTTGTGGCAGACCACACTTCCACGCTCACTGGCAGGCCCGGACTGGCCATCGGGAGGACCGGGAGGGAGTGTGTATGTGTGGCGCGACTCGCGCGAGCGAGGCACACCTTCCGTGTTGTTGTTGTTAGCATCTGGTGCTAGCTAGCTGCGCTAACGGATATAAGCAGCTGTTTCAATGACATTTCGCCGACAACTGCGCCGAGCACTTGACTTTATGCAGGTAGCCAGACAGTGGGACATTGTACGAAAAGTCAGCACACTCAGCACGGATAGTGCGCGCAACATGATTGCAGCGTCCAGGCAGCTCCCATTCGAGCATATATGCCTTGAGCTGCACATAGCTCCAACGATCCATCACAGTGTCTCTCTCCACACACACACACACACGCACGCACGCACGCACGCACGCACGCACGCACGCACGCACGCACACACACACACACACACACACACACACACACACACACACACACACACACACACACACACACACACACACACACACACACACACACACACACACACACACACACACACACACACACACACACACACACACACACACACAGTATTATTGTATGAGAGAGGTTCCAGGTTGAATTGAGGCGAATATTTGTAATGTTCAGAGGTTGTTGTGTTTAATATTCATGAGAATATTTGTCATTGTTCAAATGATAATAAACAAACATATAAAGCATATTTGTCCACTCATATGTTGATAAGAGTATTAAAAACTTGAAAGATATCCCTCTAAGGTACATTTAGAACAGATAAAAAATGTGCGATTAATTTGCGATTAATCGCGATTAACTATGGACAATCATGCGATTAATCGCGATTAAATATTTTAATCGACTGACAGCCCTAATTACAACACGTCTAGATAGACTTCTCATGGAAGGATGAACCAACAGTGAATATTATGTTACACTGAAGGTCTCTCTTAGCTGTTTTGTTTTTTTACCTCAAAACTACTGTTTTTTTAAATGTTTACCTCCTTTTAATGCATGTTTCAAACTCCAGCAGGCTGCACAGCTGTGCCAACAGCTCTGATAAATCTGCTGTACATAACCTGCCTCGCACCAATCGTCCTATAGTTGTCATCAGGAGTGGTGGTGACCAGAAACAGAGCTAACAGGAGCAAAGAGAACAACTTTATCATATAAATCAAATATATATCTGTGTTAATATATGAACATGAATTGCTGTGTTTAGACAGTTCCTCTGCGATTTGGTGGCAACAACATTTAAAATATTAGATTAGGAAGTTGTAAGCTAGTCGGCAAGTCCTACCAGACAACTTGAATGTCTTCCACCTGGAAGCATTTTAAATGTTCAAATGCTGAGTTAATTCTCTAAAAAAATCAGCTCAAGCTACAGTAGCTCCTCTTTGATGTCTCCTCTCTCTCCCTCTGTGTGTTCTGTCCAGGATCGAGTGGATTTCAAGCAAAAGGCAAGTTGTTTGAAGTCAAATCCACCTCTGGGAAGCTCCTTTTCTCCGCTGACGAGCAGGAGGTGGTGGTGGGCGCCGAGAGGCTCCGAGTGATGGGTGAGTGACCAGATGACATGTATGCAAACTGACCCGTTGTCAAGTATGAAATTAAAACTAATGATGTTTGTGTTGTTCTGACAGAGGGCATTTTGTTTTAAGGACCATATTTGTTTCTTACCAATGTGTGATTCTGTGACTTAGGCTCTTGTTTGGTTACATAATAATAGCATCATGGAGTTTAAGTTGCTTTTATTTGTTGAACTCACTTTTTGGAAAAGAAAGAAAAGATTACATTTACTTTTGTTTAGATATAAAAGGTGCATTTTCTTATCTTAATCTTTTGCGAGTGGACGTATAATTGGATTTCGGCTCTTATTTGTTCATTGAACTCAGGGAAATTGGTTACTTTACCTATTCCAAATGGAAACATACACACTACACACTACACACTACACACTACACACTACACACTACACACTACACACTACACACTGCATCACTGTAACTGAGCTGATGTGCTGTATGACTTTCAAAGAAGAAGAATATAATGCTTACATGAGCACTGTAAGCAGTCAGTAGAGAGAGCAAGTTACAGATGTGTGCAGGAAGTACATTGTGTATGAGCGGAGCAATATGACAACTTGCAAGAGAAGATAATATTTGGAGATTTTTTGGGAGATAGAAGATGAAAGCTTGGTGAGAATCATGGGAGAGAGCTCAAATATCCAGAAGGGCTCCTGGGGGGGGGGGGGAACTGACATGTAGTCATTAGACAGGAGGTAAGAAATGCAGACGCTGTTCTGACTGCAGTGATGCTACTGCGACAGATGATTTTCTGTGAGAGCAGGGAGGCGTAACTGGAATAGTGAGAGGAAATGTGTTTACTATGAAAACATGAATACAAACTCCTGCTGAAAGGAGCAAAGTAGAAGATCATCCTGTAGATTCACAGCCAAGTTGGATGGACTTTACTTTTCTGTGGTCTGTATCACAAAACTTTTGCATGAACCCAGATGTGGTTTCATCAGGGTTCAAGTGATTCAGGATGTTGCTGCTAGGTGGAAGCAACAATGGATGCCACTTTGTTTATTTATTTGGAAGAAATTAACTTTATGAAAATAACTAAGAAGCAGTTTTTTCTGTCTTGTATTTTTGAACATGTTTACCACTCACTGAGTAATTAGTCTAGGTGTTGTGTTGTAAATCCCCTTACACACTTTTATTCCAAAAAAGTAAACCTGGTTTATTTGGTATCTTTGTAAACTTTTAGATGTCCATTAAAATTTAAAGAATGTAGAGTAATGCTGCGTTCACACAGGACGCGATGCGAATATTCGCTTCGCTCTAATCGCTCCTATCGCATCGCTCTAAACGCTCGAGTTTCACCGCGGCTGCCAGCTGTGTTTACTCGCATCATCCAAACAAGACGCGCTGGCTCGGGAGCTACAACTACAACAAAATGAACATATTTTACCGTGATTAAATTGTAATACACGTTTCAAAATGATGCCGAAGTAACAACATACTGATACCGGTTAGTAAAAACCATGAATTAATGCTTTGACAAGTCTGCAGACAAGACGGCAGGTGAAAAACCTTTTAAAATGCTTGTTTTCTGAATGAAGATCGGGTCGACCAGGCTAAGCTAACGTTGTATATGCTCATTCCACACTCATAACAACGGCCTACAGACATAAATAAAGCAGCGACTGTATTCGCCATGGCACAGACAGTCTGTGGTTTGTACTTGTTTAACTTTTGTCCAGTTTCTGAACAGATATGAGGAGCTGTGAGCTCTGTGTGCTAACTGCTAACAGCTAACGGCTGATGTTGTGTGGTTGAACGTCAGTGACGGCAGGCTGAGATCCTCACCGCTGATTGGCTTCCGCGAGAACGCGTCACGTGAATTTGATGCTCGAGTTGAAAAAATTGAACTCTCGCGTTTAACGCGGCACCGTTCAATCGCCTCAATCACGTGATTCGCGCCGCGTCCACCGCTTCATGCGCACCGTCGGAGCGAATTCACGTCTGTCCGCGTCTCTGCATTGACTTTACATGTAATCGCGCCGCCCCCAAACATCGCATCGCGTCCGGTGTGAACGCAGCATAAGTAGTGACTGACCCATCAGCCACTCAGTGAAGTAGACCAATTATTATGTCATGATTTAACATGTTTTAGGTAGCAGCAAACAAGGACACAATTCCTTCAATCTATTTTGTAGTTCTGAACACAACGCCATTGTATCTAATGTTTAATGTAAATGAAGTATATGTTGCATCTTGTCCACTAAAATGAACGTTAGTAAATGTCAATGGGGCTAGAGATCGTTGGCTGAAATAATGAAAATAATAAGTTAAATAAGTTGTTGATGGAATCATAGAAAATGTAACCTTGAAATTATATTACATTACATTTCATTTAGCTGACGCTTTTATCCAAAGCGACTTACAATGACCAATTACAGGGACATTCTCCCTGGAGTAACTAAGGACTAAGTGCCTTACTCAAGGGCACACTAGTGGTGGTGTTCCTGGCGAACTCACAACCTTCCGATCTTCAGCCCACCTCACTATCCATTAGACCACCACTACCCCTTATATATCTGTGTTTCTCCATTTGATGCAGAACGCAGTGCTTGCAAACCAGAAAATACTTTTTTTCAGACTTTCTGTTATAAGATTTCAAGAAATCAGCTGACCATGCTGCGAGAGTCCAGATTTAATCATCGCTTATTTCTAATATGATACACACTCACTTATACAGCAGGATAATTAGGATGGAACTATAATAACTTGCTGTGAGGATAATTAAGATAATAAAAGAAAAAGATCCGCTGAATGTTAAGCACAAGTGAACTCACACTTACAGTTTTCCTCAGATTCACAGTTCATCCAAAGTTGTGTTTCACATATTTTTGTATTCATCCCATCTCTTATTCTAATTCCTTCCTTTCCTCTGTTCTACTTTAAAAAGTATTGCCTTTTTCCCGTTTCCTCTTTAACGTCACCCACCATTATACTTCCATCTGCCACCATTCACCATCACCCACCCATCCGCCCGCCCACCCGTTCATCAATCCATCCATTCAGGCTCATTAATAGATAAACAGATATTTGAAGCGTCTCCCTCTTGACTGGGCCGCACGATTTCCCTTAGGAGCTCTCATGGGTGCGCTGTCTCTCTCTGCTTCTGACATTCTCTCTCTGACACACACCTTTCAGAGCCCTCTTTGTGAGCAATTACTCTTCCTCTCCCATCCTCATCTACATTCATTTACATCCTTTCCAGCCCTCACTGAGTCAGAGTTCATTACCGTCACCCACCCCAGCAAAGTGCTCCTCTTAACAAAGGGAGACACAGAAGCAGGGTGGGGATGGAGGGTGGGGGGAGTCAGGGTTGTCTCATAAGGAAGGCATTTCTTTCTGACACAATATTTATCCCAAAGTCAAAACTATTGCGGTATTCATTCACTGCTGCCTTTTTAAACTAAGTATTAAAGATTAGAATCCTCAACATCCTGACACACAACAAGCTTGTGTTTACCAGAGAAACCTCCTGTGATCGCTGTTGTGTGATGTTCACAGAAGCACTCGAGGGTCCTCTTTGATTCCCTACTTGAAACTGGAAAAGCACTAAAAATGTTTTTAGGGTTGTTGATCAATTCTGTGCAGAAAAAGAGAGGCTGAAGACATGATTTTTACCAAGTTTAACAGGACTAGAGTTGGAGGGCAGTCTACTTTATTTATTCCAAAAGCACCATGCAAGACATTGTAACTTATAACAGTGAAATCAGTAACTCTGCAAGGAGCTTTTGTTTCTTCTGTTTTCAAAATATTCATATATACGTACATTATAATGATCAGTGAAACTCGTGCAGACGTTTAGTCCAAACCAAGGTGAAAATGTTAATTGTTTGTCCACCAGTGAATTGAATGAATGTTCAAACTTTACCAGCCACTCAGAACAGGTTACTTTTTTTCTTTTTTGGTGATATAAATGTTATAGCCACTTGCATATTATGCCAGCATTTATCTTGTAAATTGTGTTGGTCTTGCACCCTTATCCTAGTGGTCTATTTTAATCTCGGCTAATTCAAGAAACTCGACAAAACATATCAAACTTATTGAGAGCTTTCAAATATAAAATAGATAATTAATTGTTCTGTGTTGAGCTGGGATTCACAATAAAACATCAGTAGTTGACTTTATTTTGATATTTTCTGCCATTTGACTCCACTTCATTTCAATCTGACTGCACGTTTATCCTTTTTTTCCCTCATGAATACAATCTAAGACAATCATAAAAATCATCCATACATATCCGGAGACAGAGGTAACAGAACCAGGAAGTTAAAAACACTATTTAATCGACGGTTATTAGTTAGTTGAGGTGACACCATTGTAAAGCCATTGGGAGCAGGTGTAGGGAGAGAGTCAGAGCAGGAACACAGAGGAAGAGAGTGCCAATGATTTGCCAATTACTGCATTTATCTCCACAGCCCTTTGATGAGGCCGCTCAGGGCTGCCAGGCTAATCAAACACCTTAGCAACCGCTGACTCGGCACAAAGATACGGCCCTCTGAGTTTACCAAAAGGTTTATTACGTGGAGCACCTAGTGTGTATTCCACTCTGAGGCTGTGATCTCTGTACCAATTACAAAACAAGACTTGCTCTCTTTTTTATCTAACAAATAGGACAAACTTCTTAAATGAAAACTCAAGTACAGGCCAAATAAAATATTGACTTTTTTATAGTATTTGACAACATAATATGTCAAATAATTGAATTATCTTCCCAAGCATTTAGTACCAGATGGTACTTAAATTATGTTCTCAGAAAGTTGGTGCATGGACATGGCACATTGTTGTTACAGTGACACAGAAGATGTCATACAAATATATCTTTAAAGGATCACACTCATTTATCTGTGCATGTGATTCTTAATGTCCACCACACACCAGTGAAACAGAGGCAGTTGAAGTGTATTCTGACCTGAGTACGAGCTGCTATCTGTCCCCTCGTCCCTGTGATGTATGAAGGCACTGTGAAGGCTTAT